AAAAAAAAAAAAAAAAAAAGCTACAAAATATGGTTTAAAAATATTTCAAGGTAAAATAATAAACTTTACGTGCTTTTATTTGGCCTGAAAACTGGCTTCGTGCAACGCAACACAGAGCCGTGTATTATGTAAACAAACTATTTATTTAGTGTTACTAATTAAAATAATAAATTTAAAGTGAATTTTTATAAAGTTGTGTTGATTATTATTTGTAAACACCTGGAAATTTATACTAAAACAATTAGTCGCCTCAGGCTCGGTGATTGTACGTACAAGCCTATATTCACTTCGCCTTCGGCTCAGTGAATATAGGCTTGTAATCACCCAACCTCGCAAGCCAGGGTCTTCTACCAGCGTAGCTAGGGTTGGTAATCACCTCGCCTTCGGCGCCTAATTATTAAATAGAAACACGCGTGGAAGTTTGGGAGAAACGAGAAATTACGTGGATTGGACGTTTATAATCCGATAATTGCCTATTGTTTAAAATCCGATCCGAAATTGTCTAATCCGAATCCAATCCGATCCGAGTTTTCATAAAGAATTCCAATCCGATCCGATCCGAAGAATTCTTTAATAAAATAAATTTCTCATTCAAGTTGAAATATTTAACCAAATAAATAAAAAAGCAAGAAATACATGTCACGAAGCTGACAAAGTGACGTCCAATTGAAGTATGGCAAACGAATAATGCAGCGACAACCGCGATAATGCTTTGATAAATGCATGGGTAATTAATTCTTGCGATAATGCGTGGATAATTAATTCATTTTATTTCGGATATCGAAGTCCGATCCGATCCGACTACGAAACAATTTTATCGAAATGAATATTTTGGTTCCGAAATCCGAACGAATCCGATCGGATCGGATTCGGATCGGATTTGCACACCTCTAGTTTCCACGCAATTTCGAGTTCTCCCAAACTTCCACAAGTGTTTCTATAAACTCTATAAGAACACGTTTTCTATTTCCTTTATTAAATAGCCTTTTAAAAACAATAAAAAAGATAAATTTAATGATTTTAATTACATTCATTCAAATATTAATTCTATCGTAATATACGTTTGTGTAAAAAATAATTAAAGCATAGCCAAGTAAACAAGTATATCGCTGTCAAAACAACAGACAGCACTTTAATAAGAGTCTTACTTTACTGAAGTATAAAATTCACTCAACAACGTACATGCTTGCAAGAAAGCACTTTTTAAAATAGCTAGTATACGTTTGAACATGATTAAAAACTATTAAAAACGATAGTAAACATGATTAAAAATGTCGCCAGGAAATACTGTTTTAAAAAGACAAAGTAAAATTAAAATATCTTACCTTGGCAACTGCAGTCAAACAGATACAAGTTATACAACGCATGCCGTATTATACTTTGTGCTTTAGGTCTTCGCTTTCTAAGTTAGCAAAGCGTTGCATTTTCAGTGACGGTTCTTCGGCGTTTTCGGACGTTTTCCAACTTTTTTTTCAATATTACTTGTATTTTTTTTAAACTCCCGCGCAATCCACGCAACCCGCGTGAAAATTGAGCTTTTGACCAATCTGCGCCCCGCCCGTGTTTTTAAAAGGCTATTTTACAATGTTAAGGCCCATTTCCACTTAAGAAAATTTTCCACGGACAGAAAATTTTCCGAAAATATCATTGTTACTATAAAAGTTGAAAATTTTCAACACATTTTACAAAAGTTTCTTTCTGCGGAAAATTTTCCTGAGTGGAAACGGGCCTATACATAACAGGACTGTCGTCACTCGGGTAAAATTGTTATAAGCCTAACAAAATATCGCCTGAATTACAGTGGCTATATGGCTATGCAGGAGAATTAACTTGCACATTATCATTACACACTCAGTATTATAGATAAATTAATTTTCTAGCCACCTGCATTTTCCACTTGCATATAATATAACCATATTATATAACATTAATTACATCACGAAAGTATCATTCTGACTAACTATTCACAAGAAATTAGGAAATTTAAGAATCCAAACTAAATTTCCTGGTTTGGGTAATATTTAACTTGCCACTTAAAAAATTATAGCGACATCAATGGATAAGGATGCCATTAAAACTTG